CTCTCAGTACGATCTTTTTTTTTTTTTAATTATGAGATATTTCTAACCTATTTAGAAACATGAAACAATCTGCTAGGTATTTAGTGGCCACAACTGCTGGAAATACAGGCAACAAAAATACAGCCATGACCACATTGCAGCATTTCTTCCAACAGCATTTCTCATCCACATACTCCAGATGTGGCCATAATAACCATGCAGGGACTAGCCAAGGGATGATCAGAATAATTTTTGCTTCTTCTCTCTATCAACCTAGAGTTTTTCATTTAAGTGGTAGGAATTTTTGCTTGAGAGCGCAGTATATACTGTTGGAGTGATTACTGACATTTTTAAATGTTAGGAAACTAGATGACATCAAAGGAGATCCTTTCATAAGTTTATTTTTTTTTATAAGCTGATATCAAAGTGATTTTTAATTCCTTAGAAAAACCCTAAAACCAAAGGTTTACACATGAGCAGAGAAAGGACAAAGCCACTTCAAGCTTTCCCTGTCAGCCTGCCTTAGGCCTCCTCCAAAACTCTCTAGCTCTGAGCATGTTCCCCAAGTGTTGTAGACATCAGGGCAGCTGCTCTTCCTTGGACGCTTCAAGTACCAGCACCTACAGGTTTTAAATATTCCCCACAGCAAAGGGATAGGCCAACAGCCCTCAAATTTCCTAGCTTTGCTTCTTCCATCATCAGAAGTGACAGGAGCAGCACCAACAGTAGCTCTTGCACAGGTCACTGCAGCTTAAGGAGGTAGGGGGTTTTTGTTTTGTTTGGGGTTGGGTTTTTTTGTTTGTTTGGTTTTTTTTTTTTTTTTTTTTTAAACATTGCCTGCAAACTCTGCCAGAAACAGGGACAGTGCCACACCATTATGCAGATAGTTGCCACAGCTGGGATTAATCATCATTTTGAAAAGAAGCACAAGGCCCTGGGGAGTGAAAGCTATAACAACTCACTGTCAACAAGGGTCAAGAGTGCATATTTCAGTGAAGCCAAACATGGTCCAGTCTTGCAGTACTCACACCTGAACTATATTCAAGCCAATTTAATTGGACCAGTAGATAAGCCTTATTGGAGCTCAATGGAAGCATTTCAAAGTGAAAGCAAAGCTCAGGACTAGCAAAATAATTTTGTGTTGCACTGGGCTAGCCAGTGCTTAAGGACCAACATTCACTACTATGTTATCAACACAAGGCAGCAGCTGGAGGTCCAGCTGTTCCATATACATTGGTTAACTGCAGTACAGGGTAAAAACTTCATCCTTTGACCAGGATGCACAACACCTGCATCAGTGAGAAGTGGATAAGCATCTCTTCTCCAATACACTCAGTTTTCTATTGACCCCTTTAATCAACACCCTCACTGTAGTTACTGACAGTAATTCTCTGTACTAAACTATTCCCTACAAAACCATTCTGAATTCCAGTTTAAGAGACAGCCAAATGTCTGAATTCAGTCAGAGCAAGAAGAGACACATAAAACTCACACTGAGCAATAAACACGTTCTGCCAGGCTCAGCCCTTTTCCAAGATATGGCACCAATTCCAGAAGTTTTACGACCAACCATTTCTCTAGCGAACCAGTGCTGTAACAGTTATTAAATGCAATTAATGTCAGATTCTCTTGAATGCTCATGAAATCTCACAGCAAAATGAGTCATTTGCCTGGATTCAGAAGAGGGGCCTCTCAAGCCAGTAAGACCTGCAAAGGTGCAACTGCTGCGAGTGGGAAATGCAGAGATATTGTCTGCTGCCACCAGTAACAGACATTACATACCCAATTAAAAAAAAAAAAAAAAAGACCCAAGCACCAAAACCTCCATTTTGTGAGTCTTGACACAATGCTTTTCCTAGTAGCCACCAGCAGTCCAGTTTTATGCAGCTGAAGGTTGTGAGAAGGCAACTCTTCAGAAAGTTGTTAATGAACAAATTCAGTTCACAAACTTCGAAAAATTGGATGTTATTTGAACTGGAAAAAAAGGCTTCCCCACTGCATTTACCCCTCCCAAGTTATGTCTGCTGAAGCACCAATAGGAACTGATCTTTATAGCTCAAATCCAAGCCAAATTTCACCAATAACCTGGTTTGTTCAGTCATTCCCAGCACAAACCCTCAGCCTAAGAAATCAGGAAAGCCCCAACACTGTGGAGAATACACAGATTATGCTAGACAATTATATGATCAGAAATGCCAGCTAGCTTCTGAGTATCAGAGTTAATTTTAGTAGCCACTTCATATTCTTGATCATTTCCCGTGCAGTACAGAGAGGGGCGAGTATTCTTTCATACCTACCAGTGTCCTTCAATAAAGCATGAGGTGGCATGGTTTTCCTAATTCTAGGAGACCTGATCTACCAAATTCAGTAACAGCCATTACCTTGATTTGGGTGCATTAAGTGAAAGGGAATTTAGAAAATCAAGGCCAACACTGTATCTTTAAAGCTTCTGTTCCTCTTGAGGAAGCAGCAAAATTGTGTTTCTATTGTTTGTCAGGAACTTCCCCCCACCACCTCCCTCCGCAATTTGATCGCGTGTTTTCAGTCAGTAAGACATTATCCTTGTTTTAACTGAAGATAACGTATTAGTACTACTTCATCAAACAAATGCCCACAACTTTAACCTATTACAAAAAAAAAAAAAAATCTCTAATATTCAGGAGATAAGAGGCCTAACAATATTTAATATATTCCAAAGCATCCATTTGGTTGCATGTTGCAAACACTAGTAAAATCTACTTATATCAAATTCTAAAATAAAACACAAGAAACTCTCCAAATATTTAACAGAGACATTAGTACAGATGTAACGTTACGCTCAGCATCAATCACACACAGAGCTCGGTTACAGCAGATAGCCTTAACTGCTCCCAGACTACAGGGAGTTGAAGGCTGCACACCACCACGTGAAAGGGTATCTCAGATTAGCATAAAGACCTGGGATTTGCCCTGAAGATGTGATTGTGACAAGGACAAATAAGTTTCTTATATAATGTTATCAGAAAAAAAAAAAAAAAGAAGTTATTTTTATTCTAAGCTGTGTGGTAATTACACATTTTCAGGATCAAACGCAAAGAATGACAGTCTCTCATGACTGCTTGGTTTATATACAGTACATATAGTCTTCAGGGAGCAAGGTTCATCGTACTTAGTTTCTGGACTACAACAGAAGCATCACTGTTATGCCTGCTACTGCAAAAGCCTCAACTACTGTTTCTCACTGAAAACTCTGTGTTTTAACCTATTCTAGTTGTTGCTAGCTTTATTGGATTATGATTACACAGCTCAACGGGTAGGTCAACAAGACACCAAGCAACACACCACATGATTCTGAATCACTTTTCTTTCCTAACCCTGATCTCTCTTCAGGTACTCTTAAAAGAGGTCATATCAGCTCCAAGACAAAGAACTCGCATGAATAAAAAGCTTTAGCATTTCAACACCTAAAGAACCAAACTCTCAGATTGTAAATCTTGTAGGGGTGAAGAGAGAAGAAGACAGACTAGTCCTGTCCTGCCCTTAAACACGGTCCTTTTTACTTGTAGACTCCATATACATTTACACTGTTCAGTGGGTAACAAACAAAAAAAAAGCTTCAGCCTCTAGTTATGACCAAATGGAATTTCCCTTTAGAAATCACATGTCTCAAGAATGACATCACACTGCATCAGCATCTCCAGTTCTCAACAATCAAGATACAGGTCAAGTGTCTTCAGAAATACACGATACTCTCCTAAATCATCTCAAACCTGAGTTACACACTTCATTTTTCTAGCAGGATGCTGGAACTTGCACACAGATGAGTCATCCACCTCATCCGACTTTTTCAGAAGTCCCTCTCTCTTTTACATTTCTCTAAGCAAGTCCAGAAGCAGAGAGCAAAGTAGAGGCAATAATGTGGAATAGTAGTAGGCAAGCTCTGGAAAAGAACGGTATCAAAAAGCACTACTGTAGTTAAGCGTTACATCTCTTCTGTATTTTGAAGACATATGGAAGAGACTGTGCATTGGCTTTGTACAGAAAAGATTAAGTGTCCAGGATGAGCACGCTGATATCAACTCCTACAGTTTAGTTGTTTTTTCCATTATATGACTGAGACACATATGCAGAGGAGCATTTTAACAGTCAGTGGTTTCAGCCTGGCTTATACTGCACAGCATTCAAATCTGGCAAAAGCTGTGTAAAAGGGAACAGTAGAACTGTTACCCCTCTCACTAAAAAGTCTAAATATACACAACAGTGTGTATACAGAAATTCTATTTAGAGTAACTGAATTCACTCCTATGGCTTTCCAGCAGCATTCAACACGTACCTAAGTGCAAAAGTGCTCAGCTATCACCACCCTGGTTTTTGGGGAGCAATACTACAGTAGAGGAACACTGACAGCCAGTTCAAGGATGTTGCCCAAGAAGCACACTATTTGTGAGAATTTGCAGTCACTCTTGCAGTTAAGTCTCTTAGGGAAAGAGTTCAAAACAAACAACTGCTTTAACACCTAAAAATAGGTACACAGCATAAGTCTACCTGCAAGATAAGCACAAATTTATTTTTCCTGATTAACAGCATATCAAATTTGGGGTTTATATTCTAGCCTTAAAGACATTTCTTCATAACTATTTATTTGCTGGCAGTCCCTTTAAGAAAAGGTTATTTGTTTTAAACAAGTTCTATACGGAAAAACATTATCCTAATTTCAGAAAACCCCTTCACATACACACCCCACAACCCCACCACAAAAGAGCCTTTTTACTACATGCATCTCCAAGTGCTAGCACAGCTTCCAAGTACAATTTCTTCTTTAAAAAAGAGGGGGCAGGGAGGCAGCCTCTGGCCATGAGAGCGAGAATGTGGCTATACTGTCATTTCAAAAGGAAAGCATGGCTGAAAGTACTTTTACAGAAGCACAATTTTCTCCCAGTTTCCTCCCCACTTCCTGTTGCAAGCTTCTTTTCGAGCCACCAGCCACTGCACCAGTCAAAAATTTATAGCAATCACCACAGATCAATGAGCAGAAGTCTCACCTGATAGTAAGTCTTAATGTTTCTGACTAAGATAGTCAGGTTTTGAACCCGAAGATAGGCATCATTATTTACATGCTTGTTGACACGTTGGTTGGTTGGTCGAGGATCTCTATTAAAAGAGGAAAAAGAAAATAAAGTATTACTAGTTTATTCAGTGCTAAAACTTAGCATCTCAGTAATGCACCATTAGGAAAACTCTTAAAAATTTACCCATTAAATGTGGTGACATAATTATACAGGATAGTTATACATTAATTCATGATAGAATAAGCTTATTACTTTTGTACCTATGTATAAATTGGAAATACTCCTGCATGACACCAAGTAACCTACTTTAGGTTAATTCACACAGCAATTCAGGGCAGCTTCCCTCCTTATTTTTATTTCCCCAAAGAAAAGAGCGTATCTAGTTTATGCATACCAGATCAAAGCAGTCTCAGATAATAAGGGGTGAATTTTTGACGAGAGGACAGTGCTAACGCTTGATCAATGATCTCTGTGCCAACTGCAGAATGCAAATACGCTATACGCTGAAGTGAAGGGGAAAAGGAATACTGCACTTTGATTATACCCATATCATCTAACTAGATCTCTCTCATATACCCACTGTGTCCCAGAAAACAGCTCTACTGGATTCTAAGTCTACTGGGCTTCAAGATACGAACAACATATAAACACAGGTAGAGATATAAGGAAGACAGGAAAAAAGCTGGTGGAAAGATTTTACAGGAAGAAGCCTGAAGTTTTATTTTAAAGGAAGCAAGTCAAAATTGTACCTGAAGCAATTTTATTTCTAAAATAAAACAAAGGAAAAAAGTTGCAAATTTAATATGAATGTGCACCTTCATATTCTCTCTGTACACCCTAGCATGTCACAAAAAAAGGAACCCGAAAACCTTTATCTGCCAATAGCATAGATCAAAGCTGTGGGCTTCCTCTCTAATGAAGACTGTTATCAGCAAACTCCTACACAATCCAAACACCTGCCTCCCAGAGCTCTGCTTTGGCTGTTAATTAAACCATTCACAGCTCTTCCAGGGCGAAATACTGAACTCAGGCATTGACAAGGAAGTAAGAGGAGCCCATCCATTATTTATTTTAAAAACGTAACTGACAAAGTTTACACAAGTATGTCAAAGAGCTTTTTCTTTTTTCTTTTTTTTTTTTTTTTTTTTAAATGCACAACCATCCCAAAGCACCTCTCTAGTGAAAGCAGTGCTATGTGTACAAATATGACAGAATACATAGATATTCCAGAGATGAGAGAAAACTGCCTCGGCAGCAGATGACATCAGACACAGTATTTACGCACCAGGGTTCAAGCGAACCGAAGTACAGATGACCGAAACTGCCACTGCCATAAACTAGCAAAACCCTACACAGCCTTTACAGCAAAGGACTTTGTATACTGTTTGGCACTGTAATAAGTTATGAAAAAAGAGAATACAGAGAGGCAACTTTTAAAGTAAAACTTTTAAAGTAAAACTTTTAAAGCTTTTAAAGTAAAATCTGTAATAAGCATTAGATTTTACTGATGCTCAGTGACAGGACTACAGAAGCCATACTCATACACAGTTTGACAGTATAGGTCTTCAGCAACAGAGCAAGTTGGAGAAGCCTAAGTGGCACCTGGGCTTGAACTCTGCGACTACCTTGCCTTCAGTACTCTCTGAGCAGCTGCTGGATCCTGAGGGAAGCTGGGTGCTTAGCCTTCTTAGGGAAGGTCACACCAACAAACCAGGAAGCTAAAAGGGAAGAAACATACAGTAAAGAGAAGCTGGCCAACCAGAAGAGTCAGCCTACAGTTCTCGTTTCCACGTGAAAGCTCATGTAGGCAGCATACTGCCATGCCACTGTCTGGCAATGACCCAGATCTGTGGCCAGGAAGAGAAAGCTTTGACTGTATAGCAGAGTAATACTCCACAACCTTTCCCAAAACTGCACAAAATGGGGAAAAAAAAATAAAATAAAATAAAATCACAAACCACACCCACCAGCCACAGCAAAGGAGAGGCAATTTCTTCAACAGCTGTAGGCAGTGTAACTGCAGGACTTGGATGAGGTTTTCAAAAGCATGTAAGACACAGAACAGCTCCTTCCAAGACAAGACCTGCTCATCTTTTTGCACAATGGAACTAGTCATCTATTACAAGAACATCAGCATTGGCAGGATCAGGCCCTCAGAAGCAATTCTGGAGCTTTTATCCTATCATCTTCATTAAGGGTAATTGGTTGCCCCGAGAGCCCTTAATGCCACTGACCTCAGGGTCCTCTTAACCTGGAGCCAAGCCACAGCACAGTGTCACTCTACCAGTCCTGCCTCCTCCTCCTCACAGACAAGGAAGTTAAAAGCTTTTCAGAAAACAGAATGTAGCCCAAAAAAGTGACCGTTTGGATTTCTGAATGTGTTGTGTAACCAACTTCATCCAACACCTCAGCTCACTTGAGAGAACTCTTTGCACAAGATGTGAAAGGCCAGAACAACCTATAATTTGCACTACCACAGGGCTTACTGTCTCAAGCAATATCCTGTTTCTTCATTTGTTACTATATTTTGTATTAATCTGGGATTAGATAAGCTTGAGTACTGACTACAGCTGTCCTAGCTCCGCAGCCAAGAAACTTGGAGTAGCTGCAGAAAGTTGCTCTTGGACACAGTGGGAGGTTCCCAAAGAAAAAGACTGATTCTTTTCCATTTACCAGGTAAGGTCAATTTTATCCAGATGGCAAAACATCTTTCGACCTAATGAAAATGGATATGAACACTTAGAAAAATCAAGGGTTTGAGGCACGTGCTTACTTGGAAAGAATACATTTGGGTTGTTTTTCAAACATTTTCTGCATCAGACCTCCGGCCTAGAATAACCACGCCGCGCCGTGTGAGGTCAGCGGGATCCCTCCTGCTGCTGCTTCCTCCACGTCACCCACCTGGCTCCCGAGACACCTCGGGGGACACGAGGAGTGAGACAGAGGAGCCAGGGGCAGCAGCAAACGGGCCTCCCGCTGCGGGAGCGGACCCAGAGGTGGGCAGGCCTCGCCACGGCGGAGGAAAGGAGCGAGCTGCCAGAAAACCCACAGCCGCATGGGCTTACCCATCTCAGGAGAAGTGAAAGAAAAACACTAAAAACCTAGAGAGATCGAGGTGCTCCAAACGCTACAACCCAAACAGCCTGATCTGCAGCAGGGAAAAGCAGGAAGGGGAAGCAAGAGTCCACAAGGGAAAAAAAAAAAAAAAAAAAAGAGCACAGATGTTTCTACCCTAAGGAAAACAGAGCTGTTGGTAACACACTCTGGAAGTTATAGCACTTGTTTGTTTGGTGAAACTTGTTTATGAAGAATTTTACAGAAAGAATCTCTTTCCAAGCATCATAATGAAAATTAAAAAGATTTTTTGCAACACGAACCAGGTAGCCCAAACAAATTCCTGTCTGAATGCATCTGAAAAATCCCTGAACACAACCTTGGTGAGATGCGTTTTCAGGCCTTTGATGCTTGGTCTTTCCCATACAGACAAATATATTGAAAACTACAATTCTGTTTAAAAAAAAAAAAATAAAAAAAAACAAAACACCTGCTCTTCAACATCAAAAAGATCAAAAAAAGTTATCTAAGTAAGGCTGAGGCAGCATGACTAATGGAGGTACTTTACAAACCAGTAAAACATACCCAAGCCAAATAAACAGAAAGTCTCAAACCTTACTATATACTCAAACATTTTGAAGTCGTCCTCTGGTTTGTACACCTTCATGACTTTTACAATAACACAGAGGAAAGGAACAGCCAGGAGACAGAGGCCAAGTGACAAGTTCAGCAGGCATGGGAGCAGCAGCACCAGTGCTTGAAGATGCAACCCCTTAAGCCACCAATTAATTAAAGTAACCAAAAAAATAATTTCATTTTTAAAATTCAAAACGACAGTCTCGTCTGAGACATTTCTGACAAGTAACTCTGATGAGTAAGGGGGGAAGCCCACAAGTTGGGCCCAGGGTTACGAGACACCAGAAGGAACTGGCTGTGCCCAGAGCACCCAGCACCCCATGGCACTTCGCTCTGCAGTTAACTCACTGGGTGAAAATACACCAGTCTAACTCCACCATTCAGCTTCTTTGTCTGTCATCAAGTAGGATGACAGCACTAAAGGGTTTCTGAATTGCCTCGAAAAGGGTAGAAAAATGAACCTCTAAATGAAAATTGTAAAATAAATGGATGCATATCTTTAACCTTCCGGTATTCATGTAATTTGCTACAAACCACAAGAAGCAAGCACTCACAATGTGGCTGTTCCTATCACGTGGTCTGAATTAAACAAGACAGATTGACAGTACCACAAACCATGACAGCTGCGATTGAAATGGAAAAACCTATTACTGTGCATTTTTATTATGTTTTTAATACAGGTAGTTCCATCAGCTGTATTCCTAATAAAATATTTAGCAAACAAACGTGTAACAGAAAAGCAGTCTACTGTCAATTAGAAGAATTAGAACAAGTCAATATGAAAACACTTAAGTGCTTATATGCCTGCATGTGTAAATCCCTCACACACCAATTCCCAAATAAAACTTTTTATAAGAAGTTAAATCAGGCAAATATTTGCTTATGCTTGTAAATATTATACTACAGCTGCAACTAACACTGAAGGCAGTCTATGCAGTGCCGCCATGTACTAGTTTCATATCAGGAAGTGACACACAGCCATCTGAAAAAAAGTTCTTTAAAATTTGTCTGCAGTGAAGCTCATTAACCTGATACATATAAACCCACCAGAAACACAAAAGCTCAGGACACAGCAGTTGCACTTCAAAGATTAACAAACATTTCTGTATGCACAGTATTCAGCCAGTACTACAAGTCCACAAAAATCAACGTGTCCTTCATGCGTGATCAGGTTGGGGTATACACTTGGACAGAACACAGGAAGAGGAAACCACTCATTTACAGCAAAATTACTTGAAAACACATTTGTCTCGTTTTAAAATTCAAGTGGGGAAACCAAACGCTACTGTCTCTCCCTATTAGATTTAACTCGCTAAGGAGCTAAGCACCACTACTGAGAACTAAGCAATCCTGAACTCTCTTTCAAAAAGGGTCTTGCTTTGTTAAGGATCACCAGGAAGCAAAGGGACCACCAGCAAAGACCAGCAGCTGGTTATCTACCAACCACGTTGTGGCCAGAACCTGTGTAAGCCCGGGCCGGGTTCCCTTCCCGCGCCACAGCTACAGTCGGCGTGCCTGGGCAAACTACATTTTATGCAGGGCTAGCACTCCTGGGGGCAGTTCATTTCTGAAGAGGATGCAGAGAAGCTACAGCCCTATTTTCACCTCCTGTCACGCAGCCAGCAGGGACCTGGCAGGCAGGGAGAGAGATAGATGTCACATATTTCTCTGGTGACACAGCTGCCTTGCTGATACAAACCCACTGCCTAAAAAACGTTGACACCACAACATCAAGCAGTTGGGATCTTCTCCACCCACTCTAAGTTGCCAGACACCATTTGGGCAAAATCCAACCTCTTACAACAGAAGCTAGAGGCTGACTGAACTCATACAGCCCACTCATGCCTCAAACAGCTAGTCTTACTTTCACTCAATCTCCACTCAACAGGTATATCTGCATTTCTTCACAGATCCACCTGTCTTTCTGGCCATGGATTAAACCTAAAATCCGCTTAGCTGCAGGACAAAAATGTTTCCTTTAATAGTTAAACTCCACAAAATTTGGCTTTCGAAATCTTCACTGAAAGAAACCTGTTGATCCGCAGCAAAGTACTGCATCACACTTGGTGTTTAGATAGACGCTCACTTGCCTGTGTTATCTGTGTTCCAGTAGACAGACAAGCTGGATATTTATCCAAAAAAATAAAAGCAAAATAACACGAGTGAGAGGCAACTATCAACACTAGGAGTGCAGCTCTTTCACTCTGCTACCCCCAGCATCTGTGCTTTCAGGCAATCGACACAACCGGGGCATGGCGTATCAAATTCTAGCAGATTTATCAAAGGCCCTCATTAATACAATTTCATCAAGGAGTAGTCTCAAACCAAGCACTGAAAGCCATCTTCAGGAACCAGGACTTGAAAAACTGATGAGCAAGCATTTTAAAAAACACATTTATTCATCTATTCTGAAAGCTTTGTGGGGCAGAAACATGCCTTGCAAGGCTTTCCTGATTTACAGGCAAGCAGTAATTGCACTGCAATTTCTAAAGGTTAAGTCAGGAAAAAGCAAAGGTCATAGTCAGCACCTCTCCTGAGGAACTTGCTGGGTTGGGATACATAAATACAACTGTGATCCTTCCCAAGTTAAACAGTCTTGGGCTCTCGGTAGAAAGCTCTTGGTTTCAAGCTCCTTAAACAACACCATTAGAAGCATTGCCAAAGCTGCCTCAAAAGTGGGAAAAAAAGTCCCAATTGTGTATAGTGGGACAGTTCCCTACTCCACACTGCTTGTGCCTGCCTCACATCTGCAACGCTGCTGGCCAAGATGTTTTTTGGGAAAAATAAGCTTATTTTCCTGACTGCTTAAGGCAAGTATACATGCCAAGGCATTTCTCACAAACGCACGATATCCAACAAAACGCCAACTAGTGTCAGTGTCACTGCACTCAGTCAGCCTATATGCTTATCCTCCCTATTTCAGTGAGATCTTATTGTTCATTCTCTGCCCCCAAAGGATTGTTGAGCTGCTCGGTGGGCTTTAACAACATTATGTCTCCTCAGACATATTTCGGTGGCCAACTACAAAATATTTAAGTTTGCATACACAGCCTGATAAAGCACTTCTAAAATACATAACTCTTAAGAATGCCAGTCCATTCAAAAGCCACCTAACTTCAGCCTACTTAATAACAAAATTCAAGAGCAACTAAGTATTATTTTTTCTTGTTTTGCAGTATGATTCCTTCTCATATTAGATAGCAGTGATGGTTTAGTTAGTTAAATCTGCAGCAGACTCAAACTGCTATTGTTCCTTGATAGCTTGGTTCGTCATCTTTGTGCCAAACACAATGTTCATAAATCAAAACCCGGTTTCCCACATCTTGTAAAGCTACAAGTCTGGGTCTGAATGCTCATACTCAAGGCTCTAATTTGCAGAAAATTTTATTTTTACAGTGCAAGTACTCCTTGAGAAATGCTGAAAATTACATCTTCTCTTTACATCAGGTTTTCATCCCAGGTAACATTTTACACCACAGTTCATTATCCCCAAGTGGGCTGACTGATCTGGGTTCTGTTCTGCACCACGAATCTTCACCAGCTTCACTATCTAAGTTCCAGCTCACAGTTCCCACTGTTAATAACAACAAGCAGGAAGAAAATTTTATTACCTTTTCAAATGGAACAGCCAGGTACCAGAAGATAACAAAACTTGCCAACTTGAATGGGTGGGGCATGAACTGTCAGACTTTAAGTTACTTTTCAAGAATTTCACTTAGAAGATTGTAATAGGAATTCTCCATTTAAGTGCTTCAACTTGGCCCAACATTGCAAACCACTGGTTGAGCTTCAATTGATTTTATTCACTTAAAAGCACAGTGCCAAAACTGAGTAATTTCCAAAGTCTCCTCCCCCGAAAGTCAAATATTTCTCCTTACAAACTTTTCATCAGACACACTTCAGAGTAATTAGAAGCAAATATGATGGAAAACAGTCGGTATCTGCATGCAGATGACCAGCAACAGGAAAGGATGTGGTTAAAAAAACTGTACAAGGTCTAGCAACAATTCACTTCAGTGTTACGCTAACTTCAATGTTTGCTGTTTCAACCTATTTATACGTTTCCTCAAAACGTATCCTTACAGTGCTGCCCGAGATATCACTTAATTTGTTGTTTTTTTCCTAAAATATGTCTTTAATATCAAAGTTTACAGGAGACTAGACATACTTAAGATGAAATCCTCCCAGTAAAGCTTCCTATGGTACTTTCATTTCCTTATTTGTACTGCCACATACCTTCCCCTAAAGCATATATGAAAAACTAAGAAAAAGCGAGTTGCTTGATAAAAGAGCAAAAAACACGTACCACCAAAAAAAAAAAAATTTAGAAAAACGTTAAAGGAGATTTTCTAGAACTGGGCCAGTTCAGTGACTTGGGGTTTTTTTCCTTTGTTTTTGTTAGTTTCAAAGAGCAACCAAACGGAAAAAAAAAAGGAAAAAAAAAAGCCCAACAACCCAAGACGCAAACCCACCGCCTCCCCGCTCCACGCGGCGGCTCCAGCCCGTCCCGGGCGAAGGGGCTCCCCGTCCCTCGGCAGCCCCGATGCCACGGGTGGGCGCCCGGCCCCGCTCAGCACCGGGCGACCCCCTCCCTCTCCCCCCCCCCCCCCGCAGCCCACTCACATTTGCAGCATGATTTTGTTCAGGACGACGCCATCCACCAGGTCCATGTAGACGCCGAGGTTGTCCTCGCCCCCGCTCCCCAGCGCCCCGAAGGTTTTCACCTGCCGGGAGGAAGGACGGCGGGGTTGGGGGGGGGGGGGGGGTGGGATGGCGGGAGAGCCCAGCCGCCCCCCCCCCCCCCGGTGGGACACCCCCCTCCCCTCCGCTCACCCAGGTCACCAAGGGGCTCTGCAGGAAGAGCTCCAGGAGCTCGGAGACCGTCACGTCCATGTCGCCGGGTCCCGGCTGGCGGCGGGAGGCTGCGGGAGCGGGGTCGGCTCACTCGGGAGACAAAGGCGCGGAGCCCATGGCCCCCGCTGCCCGCCGGGCGCTGCCTACAGGGGAAACAATGCGCGGCTCATCGCTCCCCCCCGCCCCCGGGGCGGGGGGGGGGGGGGGGGGGGGGGAAAAAAAAAAAAAAAAAAAAAAAAAAAAAAAAAAAAGAGACGCGGGGCCGCTCGCCGCCGCTCCGGTCCCTCCTCCCGGCAGCAACAGGCCGGCCTCCCCCCCCCCCCCCCGCCGCTAAAGGAGGGGCTGCCCGTGCAGCGGCCGGCCGCGCTGGGAGAGGAGGTCCAAAAGGAGGTGCGGAGGGGGGACAGCCGCCCGCGCTGAACCTCCCCCCCCCCCCCCCCCCGCCGCCGGCAGCCGAGGCGCGAAGCTCCGGGCAGCTGCGAGAGGCGGCGCGGCCCCGCTCCGGCCGCCGCCCGCGCTACCTGTGGCGGGGCGCGCCCTCGCCCCGGCAATTAGACCCGGGCCGCGGCTGCGCCGTGAGGGGCACGGCCCGCCGCGAATAAGAGGCGCAGAGAGGGTCGGCGCCGGCCAATGGGCGGGCGCCCCCTGCGCGGGGGCGGGACGCGGCGTGTAGCCGGGGCGAGCTGCCCGTCCCGGGTTCGCCCGCCCGTGGCGAGTCGCGGGAGCGGCCGCCGCGTCCCCCGGCCGGAGGGCTGCGGGGGGGGGGGGGCGGCGGGAGCGAGAGCTGGCGGCGACGTCGTTCCCCGGCTACGAACCGAGGGGATGCGGGGCCCCGCGGCAAGGTTAACCCGCGACGTGGGCGGCTTCGGGACCGCGGCGTGGGCGGTGATACCTGCGCCCCTTGCTCGGGATCTGCGGGGCGCTGCGCCCTCCTCTGCCGGGGAGCAAAAGGCAAGTGCACACGGCTAGCACGCCGTTTTAAAGGTTCTTCTTTGAAAAAGCGCGAAATACGCGGCGAGAGCAGCTTTTGGTTTTTTTTTTTTTTAGGAATGCCTCAAAACGTGCAGCCTAAACCCTTTCTCGCAGCACAAAAACCTAAAACGGAAAACTTTAAGGCGCAGAGCGGGGCACAACGTGTCGGGCGCGCCTTTGGGGTGCCGCGCAGCCCCGGTGCAAATGGCGGCCCCGGGCGACCCCGGCGCGGTGGGGGCTAGTGACGCGGCGGTGGGCTAGCCACGGTGCCGGGGCTGGGCGCGCAGGGACGCGTCGGCCCCGCCGCTGTAACCGGGCGGGTTTGCCACCCGGCGTGGGAGTTACTTTCCTGAGGGGAAAGAATTTATTCTTAGTTAGAAAACAAACAAACAACAACAAAAAAAAAAACAGGTAATCTGGATGAGTAGGGGATTATTTATCCCAGCCTCAAATTTTGAGGAAATATTTAGTCATAAAGTTGAACCATTAGGTGCGTGGGGTTGCGTGGTGAGGTTTGGCGGTTTGCTCTGCTTTTACCCTCCGGTATTCATCAGTCTTTGCATCAGCCGCTTCTTAACGCATTTTGTCTGGTTCTCGTTTGATCACCGATTTTTGGATCTTGCACAGGCAAACCGTACCTGAAATTCTGTTTTATTATTAACCCTTTAATCTTCCGTACGCCTTTCTGGAAAGAGGGGGCACGCCTGTGGCCGTGTCTCGGCGGAGGGAGGGCGGGAGGGCTGTTTTGCCCGAGGGACCGAGCCGTTTGCAAACCATCAATTTACTGACCGATAGACACTCGTGTTCCTGGCAGCGGCCCGGTTGTCCCACTCAAGATCGGCGTTAACGACTTGCTTCGCGAGGATCCTTGCTTTGGGCAGCCCGGTACGTGCCGGGGACCCCGCGCTTTTTGGGGAGCACCGGGCGCCGAAGCGGGGGGGTCTTCGCTTTCGCCCCTCTCAGACTCGGGACGGGCAGAAAGGGGCCGAGGCAGCGCGGCCCTAAACCCGGCCCCACGGCGTCCCCCGTGGGGGCAGCGCCCGCCTGGCTCCTCGTTGAAGAAATCTGGACTGGCCCCGGGGGGGTTGAGTTCGGATGGATCCCGTTATTACACGGTAACGGCCCTAAATCGCCCGGTGAACACGCTGTTTGAGGCGTGCGGTTTATTTTTGATCCTTAGACCTGTAGACTAAGGAAGGGAAAACGCCTGGTTGCTAGCTGGACCTGCCCCGTGTGAGCTGTCACTTGTTTACAAGCCAGTACACCTAAAGTTTCTTGAGAGGGTGTGCCAGGGGGGTACAAAAAGTCAAACTAACCCTTTATTCTGCGAGTCATGTGGTCCCAGAGTTTCTGAACCTGGAAAGAAGGGAGGTTTGCAAGGAAACCCGTCTGTTGTAGTTGGAAGCAGAAATAGGCATGCTTTTGAGAGGAACAGCTCCTGCTCAGGTGTGGAGAGAGAAAGAAGAACGGTTAGTAATTTATCAGGACTTCAGAGGGATGGACTGCCATACTTTAACTTCTTGTAGCCTTACAATCTCCTGTTTTGCGAACAGATGTCGTTTAAATAAAAATGTAAAGCTGTTACCTCAGTACTTAGAACAGAGGAGGGGTGTCGCTCAATAGAGTCAAAACAGAAAGAACTCGATATTTGAAAAATATGTGGGTCCCATTCAGATGAGACAAAACACAGACGCAGGAATGCTTTCCTACATTTCACAACTTGGACGCGACTCCTTTGTAGGTGTATTGCCTGTAGAGACCCCCTGAGATGCAGCAACAGCCGCTGCCGGGGGTGCGAGAATTGGAAGGAGGGCACCTCAGGGAGCGCAGTGGCGAAAACCAGGCGGCTTCTCCGGGAAAGCTTCCTGGGGGTGCTGTCGGGTGCCAGATGCTCACCCGTTATTCCAGGGCACCGCGTGTGTTACAGACAGCGCTGGGAGCGGGGGGGGGGGGGGCGGTGCTGGAAGCGAAATAATAGTAGGAAATAATTTTTTTTTTTTTTCTTGTTTTTGAAACGCCAGAGCGTTGGTAAAACCCTGCTGACCCGAATAATTGGAGCAAGACCGGGCTTGCCCTCGAGTCCTGCCAAGCTCTTCAGCCTTGGGCACACCATGCAGCCCCCCCGAGCAGGCCAGACTGCCTGCCCTGGGCAAAAAACACACCCTGGCTCGTAGATCCCCCCCAAATCGCGTACATTGGGGTTTTTTTCTCCTCAGTAATTCCGTGCCATACCTGTCGGCCCCAGCATTCATCGTATGAGCACTTTTATTTACCCTCCTTGTGCTTCACCGCAGACGTAGCTTGTAAAACCTCACCTCCCTGCTACAGGTCAAGTTCTTATTTCTGGTGGTACCTGAAGCTGCCGCCTTCCCACAGCAGACAAAATAAAATAAATGCTTTTGAGTATGTCCAAGGAAATAAAATAAATGCCTGTGAATATATCCAAGAAAGTTCAGATCCAGACATGGACACGCAATTGCATTTGGAAATCATGCTTCTTACAGTAAAGAAATGATGAAAATTTGTAGTATTTAATTTTAATGTGATTTGCGACAACTTTCTTTTCATACCGTTTGCACGTGGTCAGCTTTTTACCTAGAAACAGAATTATCAAAGAAGCACCAGGACAGCAATTGAAAGCACATACCAAGGTACAAGCGACTAAAGACACCCGGGTGTTTAATGCCTCCCTTATCACCATGTGTATTTCTAAGGCACTCTTCACAGCCAAAAAGCACTCGACTCTCAGCAACACAGACCACAGAAGGAAATTTCTAAGCTCAAGCATTTTCAAATGTTCTTTTCGGCTGACTGTAAATGGCGTGATTCACCTCCCTCAGACTCTCCCCTAGCAACGATTACAACCGTCAACAAAGCTCCACCATTCATCTGCTGTCTGGAGTGTAAGTTGCTGAGGGACGGGAATAACAGAATTCACGAGGTTACAATACAAGAGTTAAACTCATGGTAATCAGGAAGGGGCTTTTTCTCTTCCTTTGCTCGAGACTGTCATTAAGCAGCATTCTTGTAAATATGACTCTGCTGTTCATCAACCAACTTCTCAGCTATGAAGCAAGTTTACTTTAAATAGACTCCGGAGCTGTAAACAATGGGTGCCAGGAAAAAACGAAGGTGGCCAGAAGATAGCTTTGCTCCTCACAGTTCTCATTCTGAAACGCTGTTTTCAACGTTGTTCATTTTGTTTGGACAAAGGTGGTAAAGAAACTGTTAGAGAAATTTGAATGAAAATAAAAAAAAAAAATCAAAACTGTATGCGATACCAAAACACAATCAAAACCCCAGAAGTATTTGCTTATGTGCCTTAGATCAATCTGAAGGGGGGGGGGGGGGGACAGGGAGGAGGAGGGTGCTGGTGATTTAGAGAGTCTCTGGCTGGTATCTGAAAGAAAACATTGAGAGAAACTCCCAGAAAACCTAGCTTTAACCTTTGATACAGGGCAGGATGTTCATTCAGTGCTGAAATTTAAGTCAGCTGCATCAGGCTCCTGACCAGCTTAACATAATACAGAATCTAAAATACAAGGAGAAACAGTTTGGGCAGAATATCTCATGAGCATCTGAGTCCACAGAAAATAAATACAGAGTCAAATACGTGATGCAAATGATAAAGTTAATACTGAGCAAAAGATATAGGGAGAAGAGGAGAGGGCAGCAGTGGTTTATGGCTCTCTACCTGAACTTGAAAGCAAGGGAGGAGTACTCACATCCCAGGCAAACACAGGAACGCTGGCATAACCTTGACTTAAACCCTTCAGAGAAGCAACGAGTGCCACAGCAGTGGAGGAATGCTCACGAGCCTGAAAGAAGAGAGAACAATTTCATTTAAATTAGACTCATAAGCTAAAGAGGTGCTAGAAACAAAGGCTCATCATGGCGATCTAAAGCGGTGAGCTCGGGAAGTTGCGGAAGGAGTGGGGGAACTACCTGTCCAGCAAATCAGGAGAGACTTCAGTTGAAGCAGCAGCAGGGAGGGGAAGGTGTCTTGGAGGTTTGAAAGGCATGACAGGGCCTGGTCTGCTGAGAAGGTGATGACTGAAGAGGCAAGGACCAAAATAATTGTGCGAAGGCTTGGGGCCATTATCCAAAAGCTTGGGTTCTCATAAAGGCACAGAACAAGAGAGGCAGGTGAGCACTGTGCCTCTGTTTCTCTCTCTTCAGCAGGAGGTAAAAGAACTACACCAGCAGCATTAGCTGTGAATCAGGAGATGAGCAGAAGAATCAATAGGACCACACTAGGGACTGTTACTGACCCCTCTAAAGGGAAAAAGGGAAATATAGAAGGAACTGAAATGTATCACTTGGAACATCTCTTCATTATGTTAAAGATTTAATACTGATGATTTGAAAATATTCCTATCAGTCATCACTAGCAAATGTCCTTATAAAACCAGAATGTGATTCTGAAGATCCAGTGCTTTGGGGAACTGCTCAGACTGCTGTTTTGGCATTTTAGTTATACAAGAGAGTATCAGTATCTATACTGGTGGCATTAGGGAATAGGTAAAAACAACAGGCAAGCACAACAAAATATTTTATAAGCAGTTTTGGAAAGTACTTAGGCTGGCTAGAGTTGAAGTGTAAACTCATGTGCAAGGAAAACCCTGCGAGAAGTTAACAAGGCTTCGGCAGGGAGGTGGATGTAGCCGACAGTAGGGCTGGGACCACCACCTCAGAGATGTCCCGAGAGGAGAGCCATTTCTTGGAACAGTGAACAGCGAGGGCAGTGGGGAAATCTGTCCATGCTACCTGCTGAAACAGCAGTCCCAAGTCACTTCTGTGTGCAAGTCAGACAGATGTGGGAAGAACTTGAAGAATTTGAGGAAGTGACAAAATTAAAGATGCCAGTTTTAAGGGGTTGTGACAGAGGGCACAAACCGAAGGTTTATCCATTGATAATCCCAAAGAAGGGGTTAGAGATAGCTGTTTTACAAGAATATGGTAAAAACAGGTGATCAGTGGTTTATGTATCATATGCACTGACTTAATGTGCTGAAACAGAGAAGGTGGCTTTGATTCTAGTTGAATAAAAGTCTGATTTTATTTAGAGAAAGTCAATGTGAACAGAAACTGTCTTTAAATCACATGGGTTTGGCTCACTCTTTTAGAAGCGAGATTTTTTCACTTACAAATGCTCAAGAGAATTGTTGTTTTCATGATACCACCAGTGTTTCTCAGGTAGTGCAGTGACTGTAAACTCACTGTAGAGCATACAAGAACTCTACTTTGGCGAGGCTACTGTTCAAAAGCCATTCTCTTCCCTGGCTATACACACCTCCTGCCCGTCCTCCTACTCTGATGCATGACCTGTAAGCAGATTATCGATCAGCATAAGTCAGTTCTCTCACTGTTTGGTGTAGTAGGAGCTGGGGTATCCAGAAAGCACAGCGAGAAGATCAGACACACGTTGCAGTGGTTGTATTCACTACGCTCTACACACTGTTGTATCTGACCTCCATCAGCCATCCAGCCATACTTTGCTAATATTTGACGAAGGCCAGTAGCATGCTGCGAGCCGACAGACACATTTTGGTATCAGCAGCACCCTAAAAGTGCCATAGCGAATTATTACTGCAGTAGAGGAAGCCTCGATGCCCAGTGGGAAAGGTCTATCAATCAACCTGTTATAAAGAGGTGGGCTACGTTGGGATAGGGTAGAGAACCTTTAAAATGTCTGGGTAACGGCTAGAAATAGAAGAGGTGGTGATGTGAATGGTTTAGCTATCGACATCACACACCCAGCTGGCAAAGTTCCTCTGACTGCCAAGTATGGCTCTGGAGAAGGACGGGCAAGCTGAAGCTTGCTTTTACATTTGGGGCAGGTAACTGTAAGGACTCCCTAAAGATGTCAGTAAACTACAAATTCAGGTCTTGTGCAGCGAGATGCTTTGTTGTTCTGGTGAGCAGGTTTACGCCCTCAGTTACGCTGAATGTGGCATCTCCTAGCTTGGGTGTCTTTTGATGTGCTGGATTTTAATACCCATCACAGCCATCTGCAGCTGGCTGTTTTCAGAGCTCTACGAGAGGCTTCCCAAGGGCACTCTGGCAACCACCTGGCCTGCTCTGGCTACTTTTTATTCATCACCAGTAGCCTGCTGATCTTTTCCGCACAGAACAAGGAGTTAATTTTCTCCAGTCTATGGAAATTTGTCACTACCCTTGCAGTACTCTAAGTAGATAGCCTTAATTTCTGAAATAACTGATTCCCTTTAAGAGGATCCATATATTTAGGCATGTATTTAATTGATTTTTCCTTAAAATGATGTAATTAATAGCAATGCTGAATTTGAGTAATATTGCTTTGCTGTGAAGGTAAACTGCAAGATGAATGAAATTTTTAAGAATCTGGTGAGGCTTGTGTCGTACTGAAAATGGGAGTAATTCTAGTAACCTCATTAGGGATGATATAATCAAACACACACACACCTCTGTAGAATTTCTGCTGCTCTTCTGATGTTTACGATAAGAACCAAGAGATCTTGCAGTCTATTACAAAATTGTCAGCACACGGCATAGTGGCCAGCATAATTGCCTGATGACAGAAAGGTGATTTGCCTTTTGATGGAGGTGCTGTGACTAGCCTGCTCTTCTCAGGTCTAGCATGCAAATCTGATCCTCTGGTTATTCCTTACTTTGATAGCGACATTGGGAAAAGGTCTGTCCTGTTCTTGGATATCAAAAGAAGATACAGCTGCAGGTATCAAAATGACTCACCTCTTGCAGCTGGATTGCAAAAGACTGGCACCTTGCTTCTCCCTTACGCTACGGCCATGCAAGTGGTCTCCCTTCCCATCTTGACCTCTTGAGTCTGTCTCAAAAGGCAGAAGAGCAATATGGTTATTAGGTGTCAAAAAGAAGGATCCTTGGGTAGAACTAGACCCCAGTTGTGCTCAGGGACAAGGGGCTGAAGGGTGCTCCTTGTAAAGCCATCAGGCACTTCATCCAGCAAGTTATGAGGCAGGAATGTGTTTTTTCCCTGGGGTTACAATCAAGCATCCTTACGTTAGCAATAGGCTGCAAAAGACAGCTCGAAACTCCAAACAAACTACAGAACTACCACAGCCATTTCCTCGAGGTATCACATCACATACCATGTAGCCACAGTCGCATATCTCTCAGCCAAAGAGCTGTCAAGATAGATTTGCATGCAAACATGTCATGTGGATGTAGCTCTTATCACAAAACTAACATGAATTAGATACCATTCAATCAGAAAAATTAAACATACTAAATGTGTGGAATTCAGATGCTAGAGGGCTTGAGTATAGCTTAGGTCACTGGGGTCAGGCACCTCCCTGTACAGGGAGGACTTTTTAATGTTCAAATATAGAAAGCTCATCTTATTCACCAAACTGAGCAAGAGGCAAGTCCAAATGTCAGCTAGATGGGCACTCGAGAGGTTCCGCCTGTTGACCTGTTCACAACAGGGAACAGTGAGGACTGTGGTTATTCTCTGCTGTACACAACATCCGTATGGCTCTGACGGACAACTGCATCCAAAAAATCCCACAACACAAGCGGTCTAACAAAATGCATGCATCTCCATACTTGGTTCCAAAGGAACACATGCTCTAAAGATGAAATAAATAGTGCCTTTATATTCAGATAAAGATATGGCTAGCTGTATAAATACTAAGAAGATTCAAAAGGTGCTTTATAATGAGGAGCACACACATAAAAATTTACAAAGACAAACACTTGTACTACTCTATTATTAGCTTTGGTACTTTGTTTTTCATGGACAGCATAACTAACATTTACATCTTCCTTGTTTCTTACTGTATGTAATCTAGACCTTGAAGAGGTAGAAGATTTATTTCCATTTTGAGGCTAAGCTCGAACATGCCGAAAGCTGTGCTCTGTCGTTGGTTTTAATCAGCAGTTTTAATCTTCAGTAAGAATTGCAGCTTCTAATCTACGAAATCCCAACTGATGGCAGCAGAAGTCCCTTCTGTTTTGGGGGAATCGTAGAGGTGGGAAGAGCCATGGGGAGGAAACGAGCTTTTTTTTCAGGGTAAGATGATCTAATTGAGCGCCATTTTCAGCCACGTAAAAGTAGAAGCAGATTGAAAATGTAGGGTTTTTTAAAGTTTCCCCCAAATGTTCTGTTGATAGCAGAGACTTTTGTTGTTAGCACAGACTGCTGCGAATCAGTTCATCGGGAGCTGCTTCCAGTTACCTTCACATCCTTAGTCCCAACATTGATCAAATCCTGCTGAATGGTGAGATTATCAAATTGCACGTGCCCGGTCGTAGCTTCCTGCGGGGATTCTTGACCATTCAAACTCCAGTTCAGTGCCTGAGTGAAGGTCCAGGAGGATGGTAAAAGGCCACTCAACATCAGCAGGTTTAAAATAAGCCTTGCTGAGGTTGACACACTTTAAAATGAAATTTCCAAGATTTCAGTCGCTGAAGTGTACACCTGAAACACAAAAAACTAGCCTTGTCTGAAAACCCACGAGCGTAACGCAGGGGCTCTGGTGTGCACGTACGCCCAGAAGCAATGTTAACGTCCACACGACTACTGAACGCTCCTGAACCCTTTTAGGTGGGCAGCCCCCGTGCAGCATCTTTATGTGTGTAATTTAAAGTTGCTTACGGGTGTCAACATCGGCGTTACTCAGCCCAAGCCACCCCCAGTCTGTACTACAGACGCACATTTTGTGAGCATAATCCCACCCTATACCGAATCATTTCCAGGCCTCGACTGAAACCATGAGCAGTTGTTCACACGAGCCGTTGTGTAGAAGATCTGAGACAGACAGATCCCTTACATCTCGGGGAGATGCAACAGCGCACCGCAAAGCTACCAGCGTACATGGGAAATCTCTGTAAATCAGCATTCCATCTGCCCTTTTTTTTTTTTTTTTTTAATCCACTGGTTATATATTATTTTTACATTGTTCTTAAGTACGGTTGGCATCCAGAAGACTACATCTCGGCTCTCCCTTTTTTTAGATTGCATTTTTTCCAGCAGTCCACGGGGTTTAATTTCAGCTTTGAGGAGTTTTATTAATTTCAATTTATATAAAACCCCCGCAAGATTTACACGCTCCAATGAAGGTGATTGCAAGTAGAACAATATTGAATCGAGATACAAGCTCGCCACCTACGAAAATACAGTAAATTACACCTCCCTGGCACGAATAACAGACTTAAAATTGTGGCTATGGCTGAAGGCAGGCAACACTACGTCCCTCCACAGAAGGTTCTGCTGTATCTGCAACTCGCTCACATGCCCTGCCTCCTTTCTGGACTGAACTGTAAGCGGTATGTACCTTTATTTCTTCTGGACTCCAAAAAGAGCAAGCAGTAGGAGCAGATGGGGAACACGCACATGGACAACGTATCTTGAAAAACTGGAGCTGTCAGTAACTTCTCTTCTCCCAACGCTTGCCTGGCTTTACACTTACGCTGCGGGTGAGCCCAAGCAGTAACCCACCTGGTCTCCTACTTTCACAACTTACCTGGAATGGGTCTTGGGATCTTCAAGGCAGAGGAACTGCAGCACTACCCTAGCACAGACAGCATTGCTCCAGGATGCCTCTGCAGCTGTAGAACTGTTGATAAAGGTATTGCTGAACTCCTGTGGCCAACTCTACCGATGCTAGGAAACATGATTTAGCAAGGCAACCAATCTAACTTGTGCTGGGTTGAAAGGTAGCCGATTCCCTAATGGAGCCACAGCAGCAGTAGGAGAACAGACTGTTACCAGTTATCTAATTTAAGAGTTTCTGAAATTTGCAAAGATGTAAAAACACAGCCAAAACCAATCTGAACAATTTCAACCTCGATGCGTTAAAAGGATCAGGCCTACCTGACATTTAATTCCATGAGAACATGCTGTCTCACCTGGGTGGGCTGCAAGAGATGGATGAAGAGTCTGATCTCGTTTACCAAGTAAGTATATTACAGACTGGCATATTTTAGAGGCAATTTATTGTTAGATACACCAGCTTTCAGATCCTTCCGCCCTCATGACACAGGAGATGCGTTTTTCGGTGATGTGAACTGTTACCTGAATGCAGCCACCCCTTGTGTAAGGCGGAAGAAAATCTGGAAATATTCCAGATTACAGGGTGTGCTTCCTTGGAAGACCAGGTATCTATAGACTTTTGTCTGGTATCCCCAGCAAACCCAGGCTCAAAGCTGGAAAGTGTACATCAGAGCAGCCAGCATCAAGTACTTCAACCACCTGAAGGAACACAAGGGCCTGTACTGATGATTCAAGCGCGTTGTATCTTGCCCATACAATACTTCAGGGCTTACCCTGTAAACCATACTTAAGGATACAGTTAAAATGCAGTTAAGGACAGCCAAGCCATATTTAATACAATATACACGCAGCTCTCTTGGGATGTGGACAAATGGTATTAAAACTATGAATAAAGAAACCCCTTCAGCCCAGAGAAAGCTCTAGAACGGAACACTTCCGTAATACAATTTTTTCCACCTCTTAACTCATACCCACTTTTTTTTTTTTTTTTTAAATATCCATCACTTCTCACAATCTCACTATTTCCTTTTTTTCCCAGAAATAAATGTCAAGGTATCCATGAATATGAAAGTAAAAGTCACTGGGCCAGAGCACACCCGTCACTGTCCCCAACTCACCCACTTCCTGACTACTTCCAGCTTCCATGAATATATCATCTAAGCGTAGACATCTCCTGTCACAAGTGTTAGGTAATTGGGAAGACAACTAGCCATCTAACTACAAGTTAGACAGCATTAGAAGATGTGCAGCTAAATATTTTACCAGTCCTTTGAAGCTTCGTAAAAATATAAAAAGTTCAAAAATATTCCTACTTCCATTATTATTTTGACTGAACCCAGTAACATAAGGATGGAATTTCTCTCAAATGTAATGCTTCAAGTACTGAAAGTCCAAAATCCAAGACTCCTAACAGGTATTATGAAAGTATCCAAAAGTTTACAAGACTGCAGCGTCAAACATCACAAGATCAAGCACTCAGTAGCTGAAGGAACACAGAAAACATTAACCAAAAAATGGGCCTTTGACCAAGTTGGAAGATTGACTTCCTGAGATACAGCCTGGGGTACATGAAGATGACTATACGGATAAATTCTGAGAGCTTTGTGCTCAAGGCAAGTTTGACAGATTGGGAATGATTTCAGTTCAGGCTGATTAAGAAAACCTGCAAAATTACAGATTTCCTTGTCACGATGTCTGCTCTGACACCAAAGTTGCAAAAATCAGGTTTCAGACAGGTTGTTGAGACAGCATGGGGACGCCGAGACTGCAGCAGCAGATTTCATCTGATCTCGTAGTCACCAAGAGCTCAGCTCTTGCCCTCTCTGTAAACTTTATTGCTGCGAACTGCCTTGTCACAGACATTTCAAACACACTGTAAAAATCTCAACCTTGGAAAGTGATTTCAAATCACCTTTTGAGGAAAACACGGCTAATTATTTTTCCCTAACGCCCACTCTTATTTGAATTTGAAACTACTAATATGTATTAATAAAGTCCAAGCACAAAAGCTTTGACTTTTGTAGTTAGCATAGAATCTGCTGTGCAATGCACAGTTTTCAGAAAGAAAATATTAATCAACACTTGGGTGTGATCACTTACGATCCAGCCTCAGATTTTAATTTCTCTTAATTCTATTTGTAGGGGATATATTAATGGATAACATCACGACTGTTGCAACATCGGTGCTTCGAATGGCCGAAAGGAAATCAGCTATTGAAAATATATGTAAGAGTCTCTTGTTTGCAAAGGAACTGAATAAACTCCCCTTCACAGGGACTGCTGTGCAATCAAAGCCTTCTTCTGTAAAAGCAGTAAGGAAGCCAGATATAATATTTAGTTTCAGATTAATATCATTTAGATTTTTGGAAAAAGGGGAAAGAACGTAGTCACTGAGTTAGACCTCAAGTTTAATTGCTGCTTTTCAATTGAGTATTAGAATAAATTTCAAAAGATGGTATCCTTGTAAAGAGTTTATTCTACAACCATCTTTGATTTACTAAAACTGGTATTCCAAAGGGAATCAGAGGTTTTAAAAAAAATACCACTAATGCCATTCTCCTTCAGCTTTAATTATTTCTTTTTTATTTTTGTAAATCAAATGACTCAGTATATTGGTATTCCCAAATCATCCATCTTGCATTCTGATGAGTTAGTCTACCATCACTGTTCTGAGTTATGAAATTTCAAAGTCTCTTTGGAATACTAATTTCATATTTATAGGTTTCAATTTTTTTATTCCATCCTATTTCCCTGAATTTTTTCTCAACAGTTGCTGATGTAAAATTTAATATAAAATATTTAGTCACAAAATAATATTGCTTTTATGCACATTGTGGTAAGATTTTTCTTTTTCCAATAAAAACTATACCATCTTCCATAAAATCCTAAACATATTAGGAACTGTGATGCAGAACAAAATTACACAGGGTGAAACAGGTACCAGCACAACAGTGATATTATATTACATCAAAAAATTTTAATGGTCCCAAATATATACTCAACAACTAAGCATACACTCAGGGGGGCAAAAAAAATTATGACACAAAAGTGACCACATCTAGAATTCCACTCAATCTTTAATCAAGAAGGGACAAACAAATCCCCCACCTCCAAAAAAAAATTCTGCAGTTTAAAGGGCAAAGGGAACAGATTAAAAAAAAAAGAGGAAACTTTATATTCGGCCCTCCCCCGTAGAGGTTTTTAAAACCTGTTGTAGCTTGACTAAAATGTTCAGAATGTACGATTTCAAAGGCAGGTCTCTTTTATACAAAGAAACTGCTGGCATTCTTAACTAATGAAGAATTATGGCAAAAACCACCTTTTCTTCAGAAGTCTCATACATGGTCCAAGAAAGCATATTCTGATTGTAGCAACTGACCAGCCAATCCAGAGTTCCACTAACAAAACTCCTGCCCTGTTGGCTTTTTTGTTGGTTGGTTTTTGTGGTGTTTTTTTTGTTTGTTTGTTTTGTTTTGTTTTCCATTTCCTTCCCTGAGAAAAGGGCAACATGTGGTCCAAGCTGGAGAGCTCAAAGGCGTAAGTCTTTCCCCCTAAACGAAATATTTCTCCTTCTTCTGCTCCTTTGAATTGGCACTTGATTGGCAGAAATCCATTTGTATAGGTTGATCTGTGTCACACACAGGAATTCACAGAAGATTGCTGCTTTGCTGTGTGTTTGTTTTGTTTTTGGAAAAAATATCCTTCCCCCAACTGGTAATGTTCTTCAGCAGTTGCCATTATGATGACTCAAGCTTTGCTTTCTTTGACAATGGTAAAGTTTCCTCTTTATCTTCTTCTTCATCATCCTCTTCATCATCATCAGGATAATCTACAAGCCCAACGAGGCCTCCCTACAAAATCAGACAAAATTACTATAATTAGGAAAATGTCTGCACTTTGATACTTCACTTTTGTATTGGCAAATGATGTTTGCACAGAATATTGCCATAAGTGTACCGATTCATGAAGTTTTGAATAAAATGAAACCAAACAAAAAATAAACCCTCCAGCATGAATGAAAATGACATTGTCTGAAAAATGTTTAAATGAATAAATCCAAAATGGGGCTTTACCTAGCCAACTGGATAGAAGTATTTCCAGTTGAAATTTAAGAAAAGTCAAAAATCTCCTTAGTTTCGCTAAGTCTCACTGCAGCTCTATCTGTAAAGATGTAAATTTTTTTTTACTGAACGTAGCTGACTACACCAGTAAGCAATCTGGAAACACTTCAGAAACAAATACAGACTATCCTTCCATTTGAATGTTTGAATTCCGATACTTAGAGAACACAGCCTGTCTTCACAAAAGCTAGTTTAAATGTGTAGTAATTTGAAGAAGTTTTTTGTATAATATAATTGAATGAGGTGCACAGGTTACAAAATTTAAACAATTTGGCAGCATAAAAGCATATCTTGTAATATTAAAACTCCCTTTTATTGCAAATAAACATGAATTTTAAGATCAGGCAGCTCTGGACCCATGAAGAAGTGACAGGAACTTCTAAAACTTCCTCTGACTATAGTACATTGCAATTTCTAAAGCTTAACCAGCATTTGACTGCAACGGCAGTTATTGGTACTCTACTCAATATTACTTAATCAGGTGTCTAATGACAGACATCCAAACCAGAAAATCTCAGCCAACTGTATACTAAAATACCGATAATCACACATTCTGTACAGTCACATACAACTTCACACTGACGATACTACACGTAAGGTAACAGGATTGGATAATTAAAAAAAAACATAATTTCAACACTGTTTCTAGTTTGTGACTCTGCCACACTTACAAACGGTGTACGTTTTAGTCAAAGAAGGTAGCTTACGCCTGAATCCATGAATGGTTTTTCAGCACACTGCATCTTCGGTGCAACCTGAACATTTTTCTTTTGCCACCATGTCTTGAAATTTTGGAGCCAATACTGTATGCAATATGCTCCATATGTAAAGACTCCATTTCAGATTCAACAAATTATACGGTCTGGGAGAGAACAAGCCTCCACCAGAAATACTGAAGAGACTGAACTAAATTAAAAACTAAGTCTATCCCTTTTAAAAAAGTGCTTGACTAACTTCTGTGGGTTTTTTCATAAATGAAATAAATCTGCTTCCCCTTCCCTCACAGAAGGATTTAGAGAAAGTGTCCCTTAGTTCTTCCATCATCTACACTCTTCTCATTCAGGTGTTTTCAACAGAAGGTAACTCAAAGACAAACTCTTAAGCCACGTTCACCGATAAGGAAGAAAAAACCTAAACCCCATTTGTCTTTACGAGAAATTAGATAAACAGGCAGCATGGTGGCATTAAAATTCATGGTGAATCAGAGTTATTCTGAGGCTACTTGAGATACCTACCTGACCTTTCCGAAATGGAAACACCTCTCACAAAACTAAATTCTCATTATCCGAACTACTCTGTACCAACACTACCTTATCTGTCCCTCAGTGCTGAGAAAACCAGTTACTCAATTTCCCTGACTCGATTTAAATAGAGTTTTAGCCAAAAATCTGTTAAAATCCAACAGCATCATAAAATGCTGGGTTTGGATATTCACTGCAATTCAGCTGACACTTTTAAACGGGCTTTTCTTCTTCTGCTTCAATATGTTCCAACCCAAAACTGTATGCTATTTCAAAAGGTAAAAGAGCCATGCTAGGATATTAAAAATTCTTCACGTTTTGGCTTACGGCAACCACCCCTCCATAACACAATTTATTTCTTTCACACGTGCGAGCTATATCATTCTGAACAACATTAAAAATGCTAACAGCAGAAATTCTCAATGAGGGTGGTGGGACATTGTGGAGTCTGGCAAAATTTGCCAATTTTTCCGAAGTATTTCTATATTTCTACCTGTCAAATATCTCTGCAATTTACAGTAAAGGCCACTGCAAACAGCAGTTATTGTAGGCTTCACCCTTCAAGAGTTTGGGCATTAAAAGAGCTTTTCCTTCTTTCTTCTCTTTATATATGTCAGATCTCCTTAAAAATGCTAAAGGCCAGACAAAAAGTACACACAAACCGGACAGTCCACTACTGCTTAACATGTCAGAATTCACACAAACTTGAGAGAGATGCTAAAGCAAATTCCTAGCCTATAACAATGAAATCAACCTATGTCCATATAAAATTACCTTAGTTGTAATAGCTGCCATCTGAGATGTGCTTTTAGAAACTGATCCTGGAGACCCGGGGGACCCTGGGGATCCGGGAGACCCTGGGGATCCAGGCAGATTGCTTGCAGATGACTGGCTGGTAAGGTTAGATTTTGTACCACTGGAAAAGGAAAGCTTGAAACTTGGGCTCTGACGGCCTGACAGGTTAGTTTTCAGAAGAACTTCCTTTTCTTCACTCTCTTTTACTGGAGTGAAAAAAATAAACATTAAAAGAAGAAGAAAAAAAAAGAAAAGTAAAGCAATATTATTGAGCAAATCATTTAATTACAGATCACTTTACTGTGTGGGAAAAGGCTTAATTTCACTTTGTGTAAAACTTGGTAAAGTGAGTCATCATAAACTTTTTTCTTTTCATACTACTATACCACTTACCAGCTGTTGTCATTGGCAAGGAATGAACGCTTTTATTCTACCAATGATATCACCTGAACATTTACATCAAAAATTTTGCATTACAAACCTGAATAAAACACAGGAAAACCTATCAGCTCAGACTGTCATTCAAATGCTTTCAGAAATCAACAACAATATTTTGTATGATTTTGTTTGTAAAGACAACAAAACTTGTTTTGAAAGGGTGGTCCACCAACTTGGTGTCACAATTACGAAATCTAAGAACTTCAGAATAAATACATTCAAATCCTTCATTGCAGTAAGACTAAAGAATTCAAGTTACAGCTTCTGCCTGAGCCATATGGCATTCTTCTTCTCATCACTTACATTTTTTCCTTTCCATGAATTTACTGATAGGGTCCATAATATCTTCATCATTTTTAGTTTTGTCAGAAGGGGGCACCACTGCCTCTCCGTCTTCCATATCGTCTTCATCAGTATTAAACCACATTTCCTCCTCATCCTCCAGGGTTCTTGCATCTCTTCTATATCTATGGTTTCTCAAAATGGAGCGCATGCTGCAGAACAGGAAGTTTAAAAACTTTTCATTCATAAAGCAACTCATGCTTATAATAAAACTCAGCATTTACAGTGACAGCTTACAGATGCAAATATGGTAGAGCAATAAAAATGCCAACAAATCATTCTGTAATGTGAATATTTGTATTTTCAATGCAAATATAATTAAAAACTTTTCTTTATAAAG